ATATATATATATATATAATTCTCAAACCAGTCTAGCCTTATGCATTCATGGCTATAAATATAAATAATAATAAATAAAATAAAATAAAATTAAACACTTTCAACTATAAATCTAATTCAACATCATGTTGCTGGATCCTTACCCTCTCTAAAATTATTAAAATCACATAAGAAGTTAACTCCTCAATAATTTACTAGATCCTATAACTGCTATCAATACATGGAAATAGAAATAATATGTATATAATCATTCAATCTAGATCAATATGAATAATTATAATAACCATGAGCAGTAAAAATTAATGCAACAAGTATCAATCAGTAAGTAGTGAAAATCAAGGTGATTAGTAATCATAGAATAATCAGTAAACTCTTTCATTTTATATCGGTATCAATTACAACATGTGAAATTATAAATCTTTGCATATACACAAAAGAGTAAACTTTGATATGCCAAATCATTATAAGTATCATGTGAATAGAAATGTTTCTATGATGTTTTAAATTATAGATTTTTTGTTAGATTGTTTAATACTTATTGATGACTATAGATAGCTCTGGTTTGACTTAAAGGATCGACTGAATAATTCTTCCAAGTTAAATATTGGGGCGTCACATCATGTTTATCAGTAGCGGGGGATTTTAATACAAATAAATTTGATGGAAACTATATATATAAAATTTATATCATGAATGTTAATATGTTTATTATGCCATGCATCTTTTTCTATTTATAGCATACCATATCGATGCATGTTTATTATGTATCACTATCATGCATTAATATCATCATGTATCTTGTAACATGAATTATGTATCAATTTCATCAGTCTTATTATGTGATTGTATATGTAGCATCCTTCATTGCGTTAATGTCATATCATATTATTTATGCAAATATCATATCATGCAATGTCCTATTAGTTTATATGCAATTATATCATGTATACATGTCCTATAATACCATTAATAAGTACGACAATATATCCGGCTCATGTGGTGTTTTCTGTACGTATCAAGTCCTATAAGCCATTCAGACCAAACAAAAATGAGTATTATTATTCATATTAGTCTTGTAAATAAGAATTAGTCATATCCATCACAATTTAGGTGACTTCATACACTAATTCATTACTTTTTACTTGACGATGAATCATATCAATCAATCTCCATATGCATTCTATTATATTACTTAGGATTACACCATGAATTTATTTGAATGAAAGTTTGTTGGCTCACCCTTTCTCGGATTGACTTGAATTAATCAATCATTCCCAACCAATCTTTCTTTCTTTCACACACACACGCTAAATCATACATATCATAATTAATATTAGTAATTATCATATGTCATGTACATATCCAGTGCAATTGATATAACATGTAAATATATATCCAGTGTACTTATTAACATGTGTATGCCTTATGCATGTCATGTGGAATGAACAAAAGACTTCATGCATATAATATATTTCAAGTTCAAATTAGATACACTAGTTTCTACTAATTTTATATGAGTTATTATTATATTCATTTCATATAAACAACATATATACAAAGCAACCTACTAAAATCTTAATATGATCATATTATAATGTTCAGAATAATAACATCTACTACATATAAAAAGTTAATTACATAGTAAAATCATCAAAATCACGAAATAATGCATTTTTTTTGAATTTGAGTGCAAAAAAATTATAGAAATCAAAACCTCTGAAAACAAATATAGGGTAAATATTGCCTACTATGATTAGAGCAATTTTTATAACTAAGAGAATGAACAGAAATGCCTCAAAATGAATTTCTCTCTTTCTCCTCTCCCTCCTCTTCTCTTCCCCTTCCTCTTTTCTTCCTATATTCTCTCCTCACATGGCCATGTAAATGAGGATGGGAGGATGGTGGTGGTGAGGGTATTAAAATGAGATAATGGAAATAAATTTAATATATATATATAACTTGCATCAATGCGCTCATTACTGCAATGTTGTAGTGCTGCCCCAAGTTATTTACAACAGAAGAGCTGACGCTATAGCGCTAAGGCACAGTGTCGCCATGCTCACACCATCATAACCTTCCATACAGAGAAGCTAACATCACTGTGCTCGCTAGCATGATACCACAACACTCTTAGTGAGACTTCCATGCATGCAAGGCTTTCCAAGCAAGGTTCATGTTGGATATGTGGTGCCCCAGGCATCCATAGTGAAAGGATTCGTCTGACATTCTGATTGAACTCCATTCCAGTTGCCTTGCTCGGACCTGAAAATATCAACCACATATAATGAGCTTTACAAAGCCCAGCAGGTCACCAAAGCCTACAACTGAAATCAAAACACGGTACTGCTATCAATATGCATGTCAGTCAATCAAATCAGAAAATAAGAAACACTGATTAAGACGATCCATATTGATTTTTTTGATTATTAAGCATTAATTCAACATTTAAGTGCTTTAATGTTGTCAGAATTAAACAATTTAGAGTTCGTTGGGTTCGTCTTGTCAAGTTGCTTGATTGGGCAATAAACATGCCAAAATTTGACATCATTTGATTATCTAATTAATATCTTGAGATTTTTAATTATGGATTGGGGCTCAATCATGCTCGAATTGGACTATTTTTTATGTCATTGGATTCGTCTTATTGAGACATTTGATTTGACTATAAGTGTTGAAATCAGAGCAAAGACGATCTTTGATATATTATTAAAAAATTATCTTGACTGGGCATGACTTTCAAAGCAAAATTAAGTTGGAAACTTCAAAAACTAAATTCGGGATTATCGGAGCTTCGATTTCAGCAAACTTATAGATGAACTAAACATCTCGGAAATACAAATCCAACGACACCAAATTTGACCCAATCCAAGCTCAAATTGGTCCAAATCAAAAGCTCGAAGCACATTCAAAAGGTTCAAACCATAATTTAGATTATCAAACAGTTTTCAAATATGACATGCTTTATCATCGAATCGAGCGGCTCGATGAGAAGAACGAGCCTAAGATTGTCAAATTCTGATATCATTAAGACATTCAAATGCCCAATAAATAGTCTATGATCAAAGGATTCAATATCGGCCATCCATTCAAACCACTCACAATTTATCCTTGATATTCCTGCTATTTAATGATCATGCTACTCTTAGAAAACTATAAATAGACACCTCATTTTTCATAGAAGGGGACCCCTAGGGGGGGTGAGGCCCAAGTAAGAAGAGAATGAAGAGACTCCTCCTTGACCACCGTCGGACTTTCACACGGCAGTCGACTGACGCCGAATTTCTGCCCGTGCAGTAAACTCGGCCTCGTACTGCATCACTGACTTGCGGCCTTGTTCCAATCTCATAAAAGCTTCCTGTATCTGTCGCTGAGCTGACGGTGGTACAAACCACATCCTGAACACTGCAGTGAACTCTCACACGGCAGCCGACTGACGCCGAATTTCTGCCCGATCACCAACTGACACCGTAATTAAGCAAGGAAACAAGAATAGAAGGAAGAAAAGGAAGAGACGAATAAAGTTCTCCGGTCACTAGAATCTTTCTCGATCACCGCCGAACTTCTACCTGGTAACCTACCAACGGTGGAGTTATGCCCGAATGACATCTGACGCCGGAGTTCTGCCCGGCCGCCGACTGACGTCAGACTTCTACCAGACATCGGACCTTTGCTCGTAGCTGGATTTTTACCTGACTCCAGGCTTTTACCTGACGCTGGACTTCTACCTGAGGACGATCTTTTACCATACGTTCGACCTCCGCTCATCGCCAGATTTCTACCCAATGACAAACTTCTACCCGTCGTTGGACTTTCGCCGGGCTTCTAACCGACACCAAACTTCTATCATTGACAGACTTCTATGCAATGTCGGACTTTCACCCGCTACAATATTCTTACCTGACACCAGACTTCCGCTCGTCGTCGGATTCCTTCCCAATGTTGGACTTCCTCCCGTCGTCGGATTCAAATCGTCCTGGACGATCCTGAGAGGAAAATTCAAATCAGAGAGGAACAGTAAGGGAACGAGGTCTCACACTTATGTCCATCGTTGGATATTCATCGGACTTCTATCTGACGCTGGACTTCTGTTTATCACTGAACTTCTACCCGACATCGTCCTTCTGACCTCCGTCGCCAGACAATAGCCTTTATGACCTCCATCGTCCGCCGACTATGATCCTTTCGACTTATGATGCCCGCCGACTACAGTCCTTTCGACTTATGTTGCTCACCGACTACGGTCCTTCCAACCTCCGTCACCCACCGATTATGACCCTTCCGACCAAGCAAACACGTCAACAGTGATTCTTCTCATTTCCACCATATAACACACTCTATATGATGCATATTTGTTACATCAAGCTAATGTCTTCCCCCCAATAAAGGGTCTCATTTGTAATCAACTGCAAATACTAGTGGATTCACTCAAATTGGGCTAAACCCCGTGGTTTTCCCCCTTTTAGGGGTTTTCACATAAAAATCTTGGTGTCTATTATGAATATTGCACCCTCTCTCTTATCTTATTGTGTGCTGGATCTTCGTATAAAGCTAAGACTTTAAACTTTATATTTCTCTACCGCCGCGGATATTCCAGGACGCAACAATCTTAAATTTATTTTTAAAAAATTTCAATTTAAATATGTTTCAAGATTTATGCCCATCAAAATGAATTTCAATGATGCATCAATTATGTATTAAAAAAAATTCAATAAAAAAAGAATAAAATTGAATTCAATTGCTAAAAAAATACATACACAAAATAAAAAAGAGTAAAATAACATTATTGCATCACAAAAGATGAATATTAACAATAAAAAATTGCATGTAGCTCATCTTGATCTTAAGTATCTGATATATGTAGGAATTTGACTTAATTGATCTTATCTTTAAAAAAAATTTCCACATTTAACATTAATTCCAAAAATAAAATGTTAATTTTGTCAGCAGTGTCGGTGGCCCTTTCGTAGCCTCGTCCTAACACTGTGAGGCTAGCGGTCTTCCCTCAGACAACGGCGGACGCGCGTCTTATTCATCCATTCCCAAAAAATCGGCCCTCTTCACTCGAAGAGTCCAACTTTATCCCTCCGATCCCTTTCCTCTCCGCTCACTCGCTCCGTGGAGTCTCCTTCCACTTGTGTCCTTCGGCCAGTCTCCGATTCAAGGTTCGCCCGTGAATCGACCGCTTCTCCCTTCTTTCTCTCCTAATTATTCCGAAAGGTACAATTTTTGCGATTTTTTCTTATTCTCGACGCTGCAAAGTTGGTGTATGAGCGTCGGTTTCCGCTAAAAAGCTTGATTCCGCTCTTTTGTGTGTGCATATTGCTTTATGTTCTCTGTATAGTGATTTATTCTCAGAGATTGGTTCTTCAAGGTGGATCGTAATTGTTTTGAATTAATTTTTCTTGAGAAACTATTTTCCAATTGTAAATCTCCCTTAACCTAATCATACAGGGACAGAGTTATTGCAGCGATATAATTTGTTCCTTCATTTGTTTTTAAACTAATTGTTGTTGTAGGGTTAGGGATCTGTGTATTGCTTGTTCCTGATTTTCTCTTCCGATATTGTTTTTTTTTTTTTTTCTGTCAGAAAGCCATCTTTATATTGTTTGGCACAAAATGAACCCCCCATTCTTTTATTTTCAACTTAATTTGTGAAGCCTTGTAGAAAATACTAATTTACTTTGCGCAAATAATTGAGTATAATGCTGGTTTCAGTTCAAAATATGTCTATAATTGCTCTCACAGTCTTGATTAATCCCTATAGACTGTTTAGTAGTTCTAGGATTTTGTGAAAGTCTTCAATTTCAGTCCTCTCTTCAGGTGAATGCGTTTAATTCTGTTCCTTGTACTGCAGATATCAAACTTGAAAAACCTGAATTTGAGTTCAATTACAGGCTTTTCTTTTAGGGGATAGTTTTGGTTGGCCATGTCAAGTGTTAGGAATACTCACTGGTGCCACAGATGCATGAGAGCTGTCAAGCCTCTTGGGCGGGACATGCTCTGCCCCAACTGTAGTGGAGGCTTTGTTCAGGAACTTGATGACATGGGAGGCATCATGAATGCTTTTTTCGCAACAGACCCTGATGAATTCCATGACCATAGATTTGGTATAATGGATGCCATTGCTTCCATGATGAGGCAAAGAATGGCAGGGAGGGATCGCGGCTATGATTTCCAACCCAGGCATGATACAATAACTAGTGATGGGATAGGCTTTGGACCTGGTCCATGGCTGCTGTTTCGCGGCCAGGTTCCTGAGGAAAGAGGGTTTGAGATCCTCTTCAATGGTGGTCCTGGTTCAGGGATTCGTCGCACCAACATTGCAGACTACTTCATGGGGCCAGGGCTGGAGGAATTGATAGAACAATTGACTCGGAATGATAGGCGCGGACCTCCGCCAGCTGCAAGGTCATTGATTGATTCCATGCCTACTGTTAAGATCAGTCAGCGGCATCTTCGTGGCGATTCTCACTGTCCAGTGTGTAAGGATAAGTTCGAGTTGGGATCTGAAGCGCGAGAGATGCCTTGCAAACATTTGTATCACTCGGATTGCATCGTCCCTTGGTTAATACGGCACAATTCCTGCCCAGTCTGTCGCCAAGAATTGCCAACACATGGTACTGGGGGCAATTCTCGCTCGGGTTCAAGTAACAATAGTTCAGCTGTTAGTGAAATACAAGTAGGGAGTAGTAGTGATTCTGGTGATAGGGATAATGGGGGTAGAAATCAAGGAAGAAGAAATCCTTTCTCATTCTTTTGGCCTTTTCGCTCTTCAAACTCCAATGCCAGTTCCTGATAGCCACAGGGTGAAGGCACTGGTTCTGTCTCTGATGGTGAATTAGAGTTGTTTGGATGGCCTTTCAATACTGGCTGGCACCTAAATCTGCAACTCATGTTTTGGTGAAATCTGAAACAATGGCTCTTTTATAATATATTTCTTATATGTTAGTGGTGGCATGCTTTCCTTTAATAGCTATGTTTTGTAATTTGTTTTTTTTTTTTTTTTTAATTTCATGGTGTTGCTCTTCAGAATTATCCTTAAAAGCTGTTATTTCTTCAAGTTTGGTGAACTCGTTCTGCCATCTGATGATAGGAAGTCAGTTTGGAACTTTTTTTTAATCTGATTATGGTTTGTTTGTTGTCACCATTTCATTCATCACTTGTTATGCCATTGATTCTGAATTGTCAGGGCAGACGTTCTGAATTTAAATATTAGGAAAAATTATAGCATAGAATAGCCCATTTGGCATTTTTTTAATTTCTGTTCTTCCATTTATAATCATTGTGAAGTCTAAATTGGTTTATTTTACGTATGTTCTTTGTTTCTGATTAGCTGAGAAACATGAGAACAGCATCAAAAGTTATCTTTTTTCAACAATGGGCATAGTCATCCATCCAGTCTTTAATAACTATGAGCCTTTGATGATATCATCTCTTCTGTTAATGTGCTGTAAGTTATGTAGCATAGAACTGGATGGTTAGTAAGAAGTTTAATTATTCTCATTCAAATATATGTTGAAAAGGAATGTCTTTATGATTGCTAATCATTTTTCAATGATCTTCTGAAGAAGTTGATACTTGACTTTGTTGTTGCATAGGATTTGAGAGAAGCAGTAAACAAGGGCAATATTTATAGAAGAATATGGTGGTGTAGGAAGGCTAGGTAGGAACTAGCATGAGCAAAGACCAGCTGAGGGATATTAAGTAAACCGAAGAAAGTTAATCAGGTTGTTCACCAAGGAAAACATTTGAAATAATAACTTGCCTGTTCAAGCTATTATGTTCTAATTGTACACGTTAGTTTCAACTTGATGCAGTAGTGAACAAATGAACAAAGCTGGTTCTTGATTGATGATCGATCTGGTAAGCAAAGAGGCATCTATTTTCTTAGATTGAATTCCGAGGATTAATGAGCTGGTTACATGGTCATGCATTGGGAGATCAAAGGGAAACATATTGGAGTTTGTAGTTTGATCTATGTGAAAATCAACATTGCGGACTTCGAATTCTCTCTTAAGTTTAAGGGATATATTTCTATTGCATGACAAGCCCGTTTCATTCCTCCACTTCAACCATCAAACTCGATTTCTCCTAATAGTATCACTATATATTTCACCATCATTTTGAACAATAAATCTGATATATCTAAAACGTGTATTTGTTTAAATGACTTGACCGTCTAAAGTCACAATAATCCCATTACATACACTCTAAATATTAGGTTTTAGATCTACTCCGATGGAAACTTTTAAACTTTTAAGAAGTTGTTTGGCAACAAGTAAGATTTAGTAAATCGTGGATATATTATATACTGAAAATTGTTTGACAAGATAGATGTCAAATCTTGTGAAATAGTTTGACAATGTAATTCAGATTTAAGACAGATGATTCATTTAAAAATAAATAAGAGCCCAAACAAAACCTAAATCAGTATGCCAAACCCGACTCATATGAGATTGAATTGAAAAATAGTTTCATAATTCCATATTAAACTTGAAATAAAAAGTTGAGTTCTTAATATAATGTTAATGATCTGCATTCAATTAGCTTAATGCTTCGTTTGGAACAGCTTATTCAATTAGCTTAATGTTTTGTTTGGAAGAGCTTTCTTATTGCTTTCTCAAATAGTTTTTTAGTATAAAAATTTATTAAATAAATTATTTTTCTGCTAGAAAGTTGCTTTAAAAAGTAATAAGAAAGTTGTCCCACACAAAACCTAAGTTATAATTGTTGATGTCCATCTATCTATCAGTACATTGAATTTAACTCGAGCGAATGGGTTTAGGAGGTTATGTGAGTTTTTGGTGCATGAAATTTGACATTATTGAAAAATTATGATTTAAGGGAGAGTGTTGATCAGTATCAATGAATCTCACTTAAAATAAAACATTAGAAATCTATAGTATTTATATGATAAAGTATCCTTGATCCACTTAAACGTTTGGGTGGATGAAAATCAATTTTCTTATGTTGTGATCATTTTGAACCCTTGATGTTCCACCCTCCACAAATTTTAGATTGGATCAATACAACAACAACAGTAACAACAAGTCTTTATTCTACTATTGCACATCATCAGCTACTTTTTTTTGGCCACGATGTTTTTTTTCGCTCCGCTAGGGTTCCGCCGACCTGTCTTCTCCGACGAGGTTTGAGGGCTTTCTCTCCCCGTTGTGGGTCAGGTATCTCTTCTCCCTTATGGCGTCTGTTCGTCTTCGCGACCCCGGTTTTTTAAGTGGGGCTTCCGCGCCTCTCTCGTTTAAAGAAGCTTTATCTGGTTCCTCTTCTTCTTTCCATGATCTAAATGTTTCTTCGCATCGTGGCTTACCGGCTTTGTTAATTTCTGAGGAAGAGGTGCGGTCGCTTGCTGCACCCTTCTAATTTGCTTTGGTTGGCCATTTTCCGGGTAGACGCCCGTCGGTTGATGCTATTCGGAAGTTTTGCTTCAATTGAAAACTGATAGGGGATTTTTCGGTTACAGTTCTTAATCATTGGAATGTTTTGATTAAATTGGTGAATGATTTTGATTATTGTCGGATCTTCGCTCATAGATCGTATTTTGTTCAAAATTGCTATATGAAAGTGGTAAAATGGTCACCCAATTTGGATGTTGAGGTTGATTCACCTATTGTGCCTATTTGGATTTCTTTCCCCCTCCTTAGGCCGCATCTTTTCTCTCCTAGAATTTTGTTCGGTTTAGGTTCGATTTTTGGTCGTCCTCTTAAGTCGGATTTGGCGACGGCGTCCGGTTCCCGTCTGTCTTTGGCTCGTATCCTTGTTGAAATGGATGTTACTAAAAAACATGCTGATAAGATTTGGGTTGGCTCGGTTGATTCGGGCTATGCTCGGAATGTAACTTTTGATGATATTCCTCATTTCTGTGGGCTTTGTAGTTCATTAGGTCATATTAAGGATTTATGCCCTATCTTGCATCCTTCTATTAAAGTCCCTAAAACTGTGGTTGCCCAGTGTGGGAAGCCGGAGCCTGTTGATGTGAATTTGGATCTCTCCGAGGAGGCTAACGTTGTACTAGCTGCTGATATCAATAATTTGGATGCTGTAAATTTTTCGGAGGCTGGTGAAACTGTTTTGTCTCCTAATGCGATTCCTTTTATTCCTACGTGTGTGGTTGACGGTATTGGTCATATGGATGTGGTTGAGGTTTTTCCGGAAGTTGAGCTAGTGCCGGAAGTTAATGAAATGTTGGTATCCAACCCTGTTATTGCTACGCCTATTTCTGTCGAGTGTGGAAGTTGTGTGGTTTATGGTGTGAAGGACTCTGATCGATTACAGATTAATGTTTTGAAGGTGGACCCTAAGGTGTGTGGTCAGGGGGTTAATACGGATATGCAAGAATTGGTGATTAATTCGCAAAATCTGGTTAATGTTCCAGTTAAAGTATCGGGAGTGAATATTAGATCCAATGCTAATTGGTTGAATAATTCGTCTGAATATGATTCTGATTCTGAATCATACTCAGATCCTGGAGATGAGCTCAAATTGGTTCGTGGTAGTCCTCTTAAGGTTGCTTCTCGGGGGAAATTTTGGAATAGAGGTGACATAAGAAGATAATTCCTTTTCATTTTGGATTATATTTTGCGGTTGATCGGATTGCTCGTCGTTTTGGATTGGAGGTTGCGGGGCTATGATGTGGCTGGGGCTCGTCTCCTCATCGGCTATCTTGTGGCAACCATTGGTATTTTTCACTCTACTGGATGGTCCTTGCGCGGATTCGAGGATGCTGGGAGTCTCGGCTTTCTATTGATCCCACTTTTGGATTTGTTTTTTTTTTTTTTCATCTTTTATGGGGTCTGTAGCTTTTTATTTGGGGCTCTTCTCTTTGTGTGGGCCTTTTTCAATTGTTGTACCTCCTTTTCATAGTTAATATATTTGTTTTTGATAAAAAAAAGTCTTTATTCTACTACGTGTGTTCGATTACATGAATCATTTTTCTCCATTGTGTCATGTTTAGACTGAAATTCTCATTTAAATATAATAAAGAAATATTATTTTTGTAAAATTTTCTAAACAAATCTGTTTAGATCTACCTCTACCTTTCTTAACATAAGTCAAATCTAACATATCTATTCTTCTAATCGGGTCATCGGAAGGCTGCTGTTTTAGATTGGATCAATATCAAGGTAAAACGGGCCTTAATTATGAACTTTTGCTTAGATAATATCAGGAAAAAAAATGCACATTGCATGTATTCACTCTTATATTCAATGATTAAGTTTGAATACAAGTATTAGAGTTTCATAAAGAAGAGATTGAGTGAGCAATTTTTTTAGTTGAGAGCTCACATTGTTAATCTTTTTTGCCCCCAAGGATGGCATAGCTTTTTGAAGCTGGAGTGGATAACAAAGGCTTCGTTTTGAATGAATTTCTTACTATTTTATAAAGCAGATTTTTAGAACATAAATTTCAAGTTAAAAAAAAATTGTACTAGAAAGCGATTTTATAAGGCAGTTTTTTAGTACAAATATTTTTTGAACGAGAAATTTGTGTACTAAAAGTTGCCTTAGAAAATCGTAAGAAAGCTGCCCCAAACCTAAGGCTTCAGTTGAGACAGCTTTTGGTGATTGTTTTTTTGCTGCATTCTAGAATTTTTTTTTACTAGAAAACTAATTTGAGAAATAATAAAAAAATTATCATAAATGAAGCCTAACTGTAGGGGTTAACTAAATTGATAAAACTTTGGTTTATATGCTGGTAATTGGATTGAATTTTTTATATCAAATTTATGCTTCAGCACGTAAATTGTGTTCGAAGTAAAAGAGTGCTTAAAATATGCTTTTAAGACATTTTATGAAAAAATAAGGTATGATATATTGGGAAATTTCTATAAGTGAGCCCATATACTCATACATATAAATAAATCTTATACGTTAGAAGCTATCTAAAATTTAGCCAATTAATTTCGTGATCTATTTAAGTTTTAAATTATTATTTGGCTTATGTGGCATCTCAATTAAATTTTGTATGAAATTAATTTGTGTAGAGGCCATATATTTATTTTATTTTAATGATGGGCTGAAAAAAATATTTACACTAAAAGTATAAAAGGGTCTTGGTCCCCTGTTTAAGTGGTTAAATTCTCATTTCCATCATTTCCCATCTTGAGTGAAAAGAAGGGGTCTCTCGCTCTCTTGGAGAACGCCGCTCTAAAAGTGGAAGATCGAAAATCTCAATTATGTATTTCAATGGATTCAGATACGCTTCTGAAAATTCTTCTCGATGATTTGGCATGTCTTTCGGAGACGTTCGAATTATTATTATTTTTTGTCTCCATGAAATCCTAACATATTCACAAAATTTTTTTATTATGGTTCATTTTTAAACATAAAAATGTAAACAAGTAGAATAGCCCGCAAACAATTAGCTCGCTTAACCATGGTTAGTTTAAGCCCATCTCTCACTCTGTAAAAAAAAACCCTAATTATTTTATATAATATATTTATTCAACATGAAATGTTGATTATGATCTAGACACTTCAAAGAGAAAGGTGACACGTGTGGTGGGTGGTGTGAGTGCTGGATTAATAGGCGACATGAGTATGGGCAATGTAATATGAAACCCTCTCCTCCTCAAATCCTTATTTTGTGCGGAGACCGGATGCAGAATGTCGTTCGGAGACATGACGCAGATTGCCGTTTGGAGACAATATGTAAAACGCTATCCGGAGACCAACCATAATACGCCACGTTAGCAGTACCGAGCCGTGGCACCGAGCGAATGGTTAACTTGGTGCATTATGATTGGTCTCCGGACGGCGTTCGACGTCCCACACAGAATAATTTTCCCCTCATGTAGGATGAAGTAGATATGGACGGTGTGATGTCGATCGCTCTCCTTAATTCATCTCCCTCATTCTTTAGGTTTTCAAACAAGCATCAACGCCATGAAGTTTGGCTTCACACAAAAGAACACATTTTGTAACTTTTGAAAAGAATCTTCGGCAAAATCTTACATAAATTTGATTAAATACATTATATTTATTATTTTCTAGACAAAGCATTGTGGTCATTTCCATTAGAAATCAAATACTCCATAAAATAATCTAAATAAATTTTTTTTTTCAATTATTTGATATATATTTTTTAACCTCTGAAAATTAAGAAATAATGACCTAAAGTTTCTAACTATGCTTACAAGTTCTCCATATATGACTATTGAATTTGGCTTTGGATCAATGTTTTGGTAGTATCATTTAGTTCGTCTTATCAAATCAGACCGTCTGATTATAAATTTATTAAAACAAAATCCAAATGATTTTATATTAGTTTTCTTTAATTTACAAAAAGCACATAAAACGTTGGCCTTCCGATTATCTAGTAAGGAAAGTATATGTATTAGATTTAACTTATGTTAAGAAAGATATAAGTAGACCTAAAAGGAATTGATTAGAAAATATTAGAAATGATCTTTCTTTATTAGATTTAAACGAGTATTTGACTTTTAACATGACACAATAGAAAAAAATATTCATGTTGCCGATCTTAGTGGGACAAATAAAATGCACATATTTTATAATCTGAAAAAGTGCATCAAAATTGTTGTTTTATAAGATGAATAATTTTAAATTTTAAATAATTTTATGTATTCTATAAAAAATCCACGTAGCCTTTTTTGTTCTTCCGATTTTGATATTGCATAAATATAATTAATCACCTCGTTCAAAGAACATTGCTGTGAAAGCATCCGAAGCGCTTTAGCTGACAGCAACTAACGAAAAATACATTCATCCTTTTGCCGTGTTGACGAAGGCACTTTGCATATACAATGACTCATCATATATAAATAGTCATTCATAAATATTTTTCCCCTTTTTCAGGGGTTTTCTACGTAAAAATTTTGATGTCTCATAAATACTAGACTCTCTTTCTTATCTGATTGCATGCCAGATTTTCGTACAACGCTAAGACGTTAAACTTTATATTTCTCTACCGCCGCAAAAACTCCTGGACGCAACAACAATGTCTCATCATACATAAAATAGGCATGCATCTCTTTTTTGTGTGTTGATTAGAAGTTTTAACTATCAATTAAAAAGTTTTGGGTTCAAAATTTATGTATGTATTATGCGTGTGTTAACTTAGGATTTGATTAAGATGGCTTTTTTATTGATGCTTAAAATAATTTATAAGTATAAAAAGTTTAATTTTTATACTAAAAAACTGCTTTAAGAAACATTAAGAAAGCCGTCCCAAAAGAAGTCTTAATTAACTCAAATGTCCAAAAAAATATAATATAAACACGTCAAAATATTTAAGATGTTTCATGACGAAGAACACCTTTAGGCTTTATTGATTTGTTTTACGTTAAAAAAATTACCTTAAAATAATATTTCATTAAGTTTAATCATATATTTATTTTATTTTAAATTAAAAGAATTTAAACAATTGAATATATGATTTAGTAGGTGTGTAAAAGAGTCAACCCGAGCTTAAGTCATCTTTGACTTGACCTTGATTAGTTAATCGAGTTCAAGCCCGAGTTTTATTTTAAGAATTTGAATTGGCTCGTGAATCAATTTATTTTTTATGAAAGAGAGAAAATAATTATTATAATAAAATGATACAAAGGATGAAGGGTTATAAGAAAAAATAATAAAGAATTACTTAATACAAAAAAGAGATAAATTTTAATTATTTTTAATAACTTTGCTGTTAAAATCCTGAATTTAATATATTTTAAGTATATTTATATTAATATTTTTTAAACGAGGCTAAGTAGTAGAGTTGGGGTTGAAGATTGGCTCGATAGCTTATTGAGCTCTACTCATAAGCTATTTATCTAGTTTAATCTGAGCTCCGATCAACGAGTTGACTTGACTCACTTACAACTGTAAGATGATAGAAATATTTCACAGTTCTCTTAACTATTAAGTATTAACGGTAATCTACCTTCAAGCCGCGAAAAATTGGGTGTCACTTTGGTAAATTAGTCCGACATCCGTGCCTCATTATTCAGCTGCTTTCCCGCTCGTCCCTGCGGAAAGAAACCACGAGAAAGGGAATGTTGGGCCCACCGTCACGAGATCTCCTTTGGCTAGTTGGCTGCCCACTAGACTACGCCACACGGCGCATCTTTACCTAACGTGCGCACCACCTCGCCTTTTGTTTTTGAAAATTTGAACCGATTAAAATTACTAATTTCCTTATTTTTTTTGGGTCCATTTCAGCTGCGAATTACTTCTACTGATATTGCAGGTTAGCTCACCCTTTTTCGCACCTCCCGTGTTCCTCTAGCGCTGTATCTCTCTTCTTTCTGCTTTCCTCCTACGCGAAACCCTAACCCGACCCGGCGTCGTCAGTGGTTGTTCTTCTGCTATTGCGACAATGGGAGTGATCGGAGATGGGTGCTATAATGGGGATTGAGGTGATCGGGGTGAATGGGGAAAATCGAGGAGGAGCAGTTCTTCGACGTGGTGCTTGCGTCGCCGGAGCCTGCGCTGGAAAATGCTGATCGGAGATGTTCACCATGCCGGTCGGTAGGGAGGGTCGTGAGCTGTAGATGCATTGCGGCGCTGCTCTTCGGGGTAGCTGTGCTGCTCTCGGGTATTTTATGGCTGCCGCCGTTCTTTAGGCGTGGCTCCGGCGCGGCGGGCATCGATCGTGACCCGCAGCACGGAGGTGAGGATGCTTGGGGGTAATTTTGTTCTTGTTTGGTCTCAACTTCTTGCTTAGGGACTGGAATGCTTATGGTCACCGCATTTTGGTGCATTCATTAATCTTGTTTTGTTATGTAGCATTTTTTTTTCTTGTTCATGTCACTGATTTTTGAACCTTTGTCCTGCCTCTTGAGGCTTCGATTGTTGCCCATGGATGTTTTTCGGAGAGTAAGCGGTTCCTTTCTGCGGGATTGATCGTGTACATGAGTGCTGATTAATATGTTGCCAGTGGAATACCAATTCGGAACATCAGTCGGGCAGCGATGTAGTTCTTTTAGCACTAATTAAACAAGTAGATAAATACCATCTAAATATTGAAAAGATCAACTAATTAATAAATTTAAGTTTGAACAAATATAGCATACTACTTACATATTTTCAGTTGAATATCTTCTGCATACGAAGTCTTCTCTATCAGCCATTTGCTTGATTGGAGATATTCCTGAAATGCTCAATTTAATGCATTGAGTTTTTAATATCAACTAAGTAGTCAATTACAATTTTATAGTGTAATATGTTGCCAGTGGAATACCAATTCGGAACATCAGTCAGACAATGATGCAGTTCTTTTAGCACTAATTAAACAAGTAGATATATAACATCCAAATATTGAAAAAAGTAACTAATTAATAAATTTAATTTTAAACAAATATAACATATTACTTACATATTTTCAGTTTCATAAGAAGTTTTCTCAATCAGCCATTTACTTGATTGGAGATCTTCCTGAAATGTTCAATTTAATGCATTGAGTTTTTAATATAACTAAGCAGTCAATTACAATTTTATAGCATAACAGTTAATGAAATATGCACATGAGTAGTCCTACTATATCATTAAACTTTTCATTTAATAATAATTTGAATGTGAATACTGTAAATCTTTTTTTTTTTAACATAACCATTCCTTAGTATTTCTATCATTCATCTTTTAATTTTTTAATATTTTATTTATTATATGAGCACTGTCTAATAGTATGAATTTAGGCACTTTTATTTCCATTTCTATTACCAACCTTTTTCATTTATCATGCACAGGTCCAACCAGTATCATAATGGGTAAATTCTTGTATTTGCATACATATACCTTTTTCATTTCAATACTTTTCATTTCAGGTTATGATTTTTTTTTTTCATTTACATTTATATACATACTAATCTTAATATAAAGCTATCATATATAATGTGTATTATATTGTAAAATCAGTCATTTAATTTTCTCATGTTAATGTAAAATAGTTTTACTAAAATTTAGCAAATGTGCATACAAGATGGAGTTTTAGTCAACGCATTGAATCAATAATAAAATGTCACATGCTATAAAATAAAATATAATCATCTACCTCTTCTTCCTTTTGAATTCACTTTAGAGTTCTTTTGATGCAGGACTACATATGAATGTGATCACTTCATTAGGATTTTGCACAATTCTATGATTGAAATAAAATGAAAGAAAACTAGTAGCAGTTTAAAACGACAAAGTAAAACGAGTGAGGGATCACACCCGCTTAGGCTAAATTACATTCCCAGAGAGTTTAGAAAAACTTTCAAAACAAATAGTAAATTACCTAATGCCGTAGTAATAGTTTCAATACAATCCCTAATCTAACAATGAAAATTAGCAAGTATAAAGGCACGCTCAAGATCCTACGTTTACTAAGCTTACCAATAACGGAGAGAGTCGTCCTTTGTGACTACAATCAAGCACAAGATTCAGTTAGACTAAAGAAGTATAATGAAAAGGAAAAAGGATAACCTCTCGTCAAGGGGTAGTGGAGATCCTCCACTCGATGCCTTCAAAGTGCTCGTCGATTGCCTCGACCAAGTAGATCAAAGTGCGCTCTAGGTAATCCTCGATCGTGTGATCAACTCTTGGATTGTCGTCGAAGTAGGTAGATTAAAGAATATCCACAAATCCACGTTCGTCGTATGCAATTCCGTAGTCCACTTCGGGGTCAGCCATCCATGCGAGAAGACGTCGTCTTAACGTTAGAAGAGGTTGGATGATAAGGAGGGACTTCTCCAATAGTGCTGTAGTGAAAATTGGTGGTCAGCAAGCTGTCCCTTTTATGCAGCTGTTTTGAAGCTTATGGTTGATGAGAATCCAAGAAGCACGCAGGAATTTTCTGGCAGCAGCTTTGGAGAGCAGGAAATCCAACGTGGGATAGGGTTTGGGAGGAGTTTGTAGAGGAAAAATAGCATAGGAGCCTTGGGGAAGAGTTCGGCCAGCAGGGGAGAAAAGCTTGAGATTAATTCCAACTTGGGAGGAGTGATTTTGGAAAGGATTAAGACGGTGGTAACAAGAGGAATTTCAGCCCAAAAGAAACGGTGGATTTTTGAATTGTTTCCAAGTGGGATGAAGTGATTTCAGGAAACAAATAAAAAAAGAAATCTCTATGGGGCCAGTGGCATAGGGATTAGGAGGAGGAAATTTAGGGAGGCATTCAATGCTATCTTAAATTAATAAATTAAATTTGGAATGAAAGATTTCATCCAAATTAATTCAAAATTCAAATAGGCTATGAATTAGGAAGTTGCCTAACATAGGATTATAATTTAGGTAACTATTTTAAATTCAAATGGATTTGAATTTACTCATGATTAGAGTTACCTAAAATATGAAAGAATAATTTAGGAAAAGGTTTAATGACAAGTTGATGATGGTGGGAAAGATTTTGAAGACTTTCCTAAAATAGATTTTATAATTTAGGAAATAATTTGAATTTCAAATTTGGGGAAATTTGAATTCAAAGACCAACAAAATTATGGCAATCCAAAATTAGGAATTTTCCAAGAGAGGCAATAGGGACTTAAGCCGGTGGCTTGAATGGGGTTGGGTATGGGGGGCCGGCGGCTATGGTTTTGGCCGTGGATGATGGTGGTGGGGTTTGGGCTTGGCCGACGGGTGGAGGTGGGGGTTAGGGTGGCCGGCGGCTTAGGGATTTCGGGAAGTCTAGGCCGGCGGTTAGGAGAAGAGGGGAAAGAGAAGAAAAAGATAGAGAAATAAAACCACGAACCCGACTTATCTTGGTTGGTGGGTGATGCACAATTCTTCCCTCTCCTAGGGATCCTTCTCCATGACTCTCAAGCTCTCATTAGAATTCACACAAGAAAACAATATTTGATTAATCATTCATTCATTCATTCATTAACCATGAAATAATAAGCAAATGACTATATATAGCCAAGTACAATGGACTCAAAGAAATAAAAGACCAAATTGCCCTCTGGGCTTACACATGACACTTCCCACTAAAGGGGTACAAACGGAAGAACAAACATGACACAAAGCAAATAGAAAATACATAAATAATAAAATAACAGAAATGACTTAGAAATACAAGGACTCGATTGGAGAACAACTTATCTATGAAGGATGTAGTTATGTCACTCTATGCAGATAATTTATGACTGTATTTACATTAAATTTTTAATTAAATTTATGATAACACAATTAACCCTTACATAGGATTTTGAGAACCCCTTTTTCTTATTTTCAATGCTCTGCCTCACTTGCACTCAATTCATTCTCTATTTAAACCACATTAAAGTGTTAAACCACATCAAATAACATTGGAGATGTCAAACATTGACAAAGTAACATCGAATGTTGACAATGATAACGTTGAACATCTCTAAATTATTCAACAATATTTATAATTATTTTGTATATCTTTTTCTACAAAAATAGTTGAAATTAGGTCTAATTAAGTTACATTAATTACCTCAAATTATTTTCCTCCATTTTTCTCGTAATCTCATAATTGTACTTCTTGTTGAACAATTACATAAGTTAATTTAATAATTTCTAAATCATAGTTTCCTTCTCAGCAGAAAATTTACTTACTCTATTTTCCTTCCTTTTTGTCTCCAACGTCAAACAATTCACCTTGAATAGCGGCTGCATGCAAACTCTCTCCTCTGCCTTCGACTTCATCAAAAATAGACTCAACTACATTTAAATTCCTCCTTCTCTGGCTTCTTCCTTCATATGAAATCGAGTAGCAATGAACCACACTTCTTCCTATCCGTCGAACACAAACTCCTCGTTGGCTCCTGTAATTGAAGCCATGAAATTACTTGGAAACTTGTTCTTCCTATTTTACTCATATATTTAGTTTCGTCCAAGTCCTCCATTTTCTATTGAAGCCTCGAAGCTCACTTGTACTCGCGAGGAGTTGCATTCGCCCGCTTAAGCATCAAGGTCACAATTGCATGTTTAACATGACCTCGCATGGCTAGCGCTACTGTTGGCACTCGCTCAACCTAGCCTGCTTGCTCGCTCGTTATACTTGCATGCTTGAATGATCTTCTGGCTATGATGCACCGACATGCCTCTTAAAGAGGGTATGTAGTGTAGGACACGTGTCGGACACGGACACGCGTCGGACACGGCATGGACACGTGTCCGACACGGCATTGGAGTGTCGGAATTTAAAAGATTAAAATTTAAATCGGACACGCGTGTCCGGTTATTAAATGATAAAATCGTCCGTTCTATTTAACCTTTTCGCGAACGAGAAGCCCTATTTTTCCGATCTACGAAAGAAATCTTCTAGGGCGGACCGGGAGAGCTCACAGTCGACGCCAAACGGAGATCGCTGCCTTCGCCTCCCGTTCCTTCGTCATTTCTGCTCGACCAAGCAGAGCTCGTCTTTCCCATTCCTTCGTTCTTGCGTTATTTTTGCTGTCATTCGAGGCAAAGTTTGTAATCAAGGCCAAACAGAGCTCCTTCTGCCCGCAAGAGAGCCAAGAACTGTAAGTGGATTTCACCATATCTTCTCTTCATTGTTGAAAAACCTGATGAACATGCTCGGTACCGCTCGATATCGCTAGGTACATGCTCGATACCGCTCAATAAATGCTCGGTACTGCTCAGTACATGCTCGGTACTGCTAGGTACATGCTCGGTACTGGTAGGTACATGCTCGGTACCAGTAGGTACATGCTCGGTACTGGTAGG